AAAATCCAGTAGTTTTCTGTATTTCGCGCTTTTTTCATAAAATATCCCCACATCGTCAGAAGCGACCTCCTCTCCTGTAACAACAGCTCCTTCCACAAGACACTAGTCCTATTTTTCGACCTTTTTGACTTCATCAATCCCTAACAGTACCCCCTCCAGAAAGAAAAAACTCCCTTGAGACCTGCGTAACGCACGGTTGACCCTGCCCTGTCCTTCTGCCGTTGACACAGCGTTACACCAATAACCACAATCACTGTCATCTTAAGTTCCGATCAAACCGTTCCTATCTCAAGCAAATTTTCTCAATTGCAAATAGCCGTTGATTTTGAAAAAGGTGGAAAAGAGCATGAAAAAGCTGAGAGATACGCTTTTCCAAGCTTTCACCACACTGAAGTCCCGCAATGTCACTTCAATTAGAAAACGAAGTGGCAAAAAACGTCAAATCAGTTCTTATAACAGAAGCCAATACTACGACTTCGCAACATACAAATTCTCTCTCTCATTCGATATTTTCAGAAAAAACAATTTGCGCGGTAATGTTTGTTTCGGGAAGGTACGAGGAAATCCCATTCACTCAGTACTACACCAAAATTGAATGCAATTTATTTCTATTATATACAAGAGGGCGGAAGTGGTGTAGTGACAAGTGGCGCGCTTACCACGCGAGCGGTCCGGGGATCAAATCCTGGGTCGTGAGTCGCCCGGGCCAACCAAGCCTTCCATCCCTCCGGGGTCGGTTAATTGGTACCAGACTTGTCTGGGAGGATAAAAACACTGACTTGTACATCGGCTGGCCCCCGCAAGTCATTGTATAGGCCACATCGCATTCAAACGCCACTACGAATGTACAAATGGAAGTAGAATGCGTGCCGCATCCCAAAAAGGGATTGATCAACGGCAAATGCTTTATCCTTTATCCTTTATATACAAGACGAGTAGCCAAAGTACTGACCAACACCGTTCCATTTACCCTGTCATAACCATTCACCCTGAACAAATGGAATGGGGGTGAGTCCCTCGCCACAAGACCCTTGTCATGCAAGCACTAGTGATGACTGGGGCTGGCGGAGGCGGAGTCTACGATTAGAAGGCAGTTTATTAGAATCTGAGGAAGAGGTGGTAAGTGGTGCCGGGATGAGGACGAAACACGAAAAATGGCCCAAAACCCGAGAGGGAACCCTCCCTTGCCGTTGATTTCCGCATTGTTGCGACCTTCATCGGTGCTACCTTCCAGCTAAATGGCTAGAGACCTGCGGCGTATGGTTAGCCAGTCGGTGGGCGTGCCGCGTCGATAGCGCCGCGGGACGGCCATGCTAGGTCGGGGGCATATCCTTCGCTGCGAATTGCGTGTCGGTCCGCACCCTTAGAGAGGCCGCCTGTCTTTCCACTAGATAAGTTCCCCCTTCTTCGACCTTCGACCCTATCGTGGAATTTTCCTTTAAGAAGCTGGAAATCGCGAAAATATATAACGTAGAACATTTACGTTTCCCACTAAAACTGGAAATCAGCACAAAATAATAACGTAGACATTACGTTCCCACTAGAACTGCTGAGTACTTGTTAATTCTTATATCAGTTGAAGCGAGATTCGTGCATTTTGAACTACGCTGAGCGCTGTGAAAAAGTGAAATCACACCGATGAGCTTCTTTTCTTTTTTCGATGCGCCATGCATTGGACTGCCATTCAGAATACTGGAGTTATTTAAACAGGGTTTAGCCTCGAATGATCCATGTAGACCAGCAAGAAATGTGTGCAGGAGCACCCAGCCGGAGATGAGCCACCAAACTCTGGTCTCTACACCGGTCGATGGCACAGTCCTCATAGCGGAGATGTACAGTTCTGGGACCCATCCCCGGCCGGGTACTGCTGCATACGGCCCCAGATGTTCACTTCAATGCCTTTATCATCTTAGCTTAGCTTATTACCAATCAACCGAACCAAAAGGTGGAAGACTTGGTTACCTAGGCGAGCGGTCCCTGTTATAGCTGAACCACACTACTTTTCACTTATCCATCGACGACTGTAATGTTACCGCGATTTTCGGCGCCTTAGATAATCTTTTTAAAAACACCTTCTTCAATTCAAATGGTTCCACGACCCCTTCAAAGCAGTTTTACTTTTGGAATATTAACAAATGAATAATTACATAGAGCATGACGTTCTACAGACGATGGTCACATCAATCAAACATGAGTGATTCGAGGCGCTATGATGAATTCCACTGCTCCAAAAATTTCCGAACAAAATCTTAGTCAAACGTCACGATACACTTCAAATGTTCTTTGATGGAAATGTGTTATAACCGCTGCATTAACTGTGAATTTTTGGAAAATCTTTCAAATCGATAATGCTTGGCACGAGTCAAAGCGAGGGGTTACGATAAGATTGGTCGGGTTCATAGTGGAAGTGAGATGCTGAATAATGCCCCAGTGGCGAAAAAAGCAAAGAAATCCGTCAAGAACGCGCAAAATGGGACCCCTTTCTTTGCCCGTTGACCTCCGATAATGGACGAGCTAGCAACCATCAATAGGCCGTTTGCACATGGTAAACTGATACCGACAAAGACCATGCTCTGGCTGGTAACGCATTCCATAGGAAATACAGTACATGCGCTCGAAGTGGGATGCCTCATCTAAAAGAACAATAATGCTGCTGGCAACACACTGGTAGGCGGAACTCAGGAAGGATTGGCAGTTCCCAGGGCACTGAATTGGGGCGCCTTTGACCACGAAAACATCGCATATCGTTTCCTTCGGGCCTCTGA